TTTGGAGATTTGTGACAATTTGAAAAAACTTGCAGAAACTTTTTGGTATAGAAATACCAAAAAAATTAATAAAAAGTTAAGTATGTCATTAGTGCAGAAAATATATGTAATTACTAGTCGATTTTATCATTTACTACCATAAAATATACACAGAACTATTGATTTATTATAAAAAGTTAAAATTTATTAACAGCATAAATTAACTATAGTATATACTGTGCTACTGTAATAATTTTATAGCCACTTCCTGTTGCTATTAGGTGAGCTCAAGCATTGCTAGTATCCCTCAAAAATGCTGTATATCTCCAAGAGAGCCATTAATCTTTCCAGTAAATTGCATATGGCAGTAAAAAGTGATCTCTTGAGGTTCTCGCTTATTTTTCTTGTTCAGTCCTTGTGGCTCACACAAACTGCCACTAGTGATGCTGGAAGTGCTTCTTAGAAGCAGAGACAAATTATGACATTACAAGAAAAAGTTGAATTGCTTGATATGTACCATAGATTGAGGTCTGTAGCTGTGGTTTTAAACAGACAATTCATCTTATTTACAGATGACATAACCTTATTGTAAATGTATTTTTTCTTCCTTATGGTTTTCTTAATAACATTTTCTTTCCACTAGCTTATTTTATTGTCAGAATACAGTATACACATAACATACAAACAGTATATAATACATACAACATACAAATTTGTGTTAATTGACTTTATGTTATTGGTAAGGCTTCTACTCAACAGTAGGCTACTAGTAAAGTTTTGGGAGAGTCAAAAGTTATACATGGACCTATATTCCCAGCTACTCAGGAGGCTGAGGTGGGAGGATTGCTTGTGTCCAAGAGTTTGAGGCTGTAGCATGCTGTGATCGCACCTGTGAATAGCCACTGCACTCAAACTTGGGCAACACAGTGAGACCCCCATCTCTAAAAAATAAAAGTTATACATGGATTTTCAACTGCATGGAGATTGGCGCCCCTAACTCCCACATTGTTCAAGAGTCAACTGTGTATAGATAACAGATAGATCACCTTTATATATATATATTTTACTTTCTTTTCTAGAATCACACATTATCTTTGCAAATAGGCTGACAAATGTAGTTGAAATGTATCTTTTTACTTCAGTTCTGTTGCTTGTTTTCAAGATAATCAATAGTAGTAAATGCAGTTTTCTAATTCCTGGTTGTTAATTCTCTGGATTTCAGAACTACTTGTAAAATTT